GGATGGAGCTTGAAGGTCGTGTAGCTTGTTCACTTCCTTCTCAACATTTTCCAAAGTAGTGATTGTGGTTTTTTGAAGTCTTCCTACATCCTTGTAATCAACGGAGCGGCGCATTTTGAAAGTGTGAGGTACCATCCTGACCAGCGACAGTTCTAAGAAATGTGGGCCGGTCAGGATGGTAGCTCACACTTGTACCTTGTACGAACTTTGAAAGATGATGTGAACATGAGTTTGGCTTTCGTCCTTGGAAACTTCGGAGAAAATAGAAAATAGTCATGCAAAAATGAAATGTCTCAAAGCTCGAAATGTGTGTGATTATTCAGTCTTCATGTCCATTTCTGTCTATCGGTTTACGATGGTGGTCAAAATGTGCTTTTCACACCTGCCCGCATGTCCTTTAGAGTTCACATTAACAAAAAAGGAAGGCTGTTCTGTTCTCGTTTTTTGCTTTCTATTAAATTTAACTTTCATATTTGAGCATTTACGTGTCACCCTGCACATGGCTCATTTGTACTCGTCACTTCTCGTTCACAGTTCAGCTACTGATCTCCTAAGATTGACTATACTGGGTCAAACCTGTGTCATTAAATACTATGTGTCACCATATAAGGTGAAGTTAACCTTTTCTTGCATATATCATTTTGAAATGACCAGTTGTATGCAGATTGTTATCATATTTTTCTTATCACAGTACTTCACTTGTTACAATGTGGCTTAGAAAATAAATTTGCTCACAACTATGGGTTAAAAAACATGCTAACCTTGAATTAATTTTCTAATTTAATGCGGAATGCGTTAAGCGGCACTCAGTTCTGCCGGTAGAAAGGCATGAAGCTTTGAAACTCGCTCAGCGGCTTGCTTGCTCAGTTCTCTGCGTTAGTTGCTGTCATATGTTCACTTAATATCGCCGCAAATGTCGGGTAGCAATCAGCGGTTCTCACATGCGGCGTTTCCATCATTGGTTGTTTCCTTCCTAATCGATCTCTACCCGATCGCCATTGGTAGAGCAAGGGAGCCGAACGCGGACTCGAACCGCGCTGCTCACGCCGCCTCCGACAGTCCGCAATAATGAGGATTATATTTCTGTGGCTATCTCAGAAAAGAGCATGGACAAAAAGAGGCGTTTCGGCTGCACTAAGAGGATATGGTGCCCCATCAGCTAAATGGACTCAGTGATAGGGACTCAGTGATGATTACCGTGGGGTAAACATAGCAGTGTGGGTTAGCCAAATTGCTAGAATGTGAAGTCCTCTATGGATGACTCGTTTTTTTAATGTTGTCCCAAAAAATCTGGTGACTCATTACGGGACGAAAATAGTAGTTGTTATAGGCAACGTTGACACACCAGTGTGCCCTTTATGAATCTAACAAATCTAACAACGCTTAGGATGAAAGACCAACAGTGCACTCATTTCCGAGGACAGCCTTTCTCATGTGCAAGGCGAATGGGTCCGTAGCTGCGGTAGTGTGCCACTTCCTACACTCAAAAGTGCATGGGAACGAGGCTGAAGGGTAGAGATACCCGAGTACTGTGTCCATACAAGGCCCTCGCTGTCCTTCGAGTCCAGCACTACCGAGGTCCCACAGCGGAACACGCTTTAAGTGGCAAAGAAGAACCGGAAGTCGGTAGGTGGCAAGACACACGCTCGGGTAGTCGGACTTGTGGCTGGCCGTGCGGTAGGAGGGCGGAGTATGGAGATGGCACCCAGCTATGACTACCATTCGGCCACGTTCCCAGGCACTTTTAACCACGGAAAATGGTGCTCTACCGCAGCTACAGAACCATTCTCCCCGCACATGGCAAATACCAGCATCCGCAGAGGTGATTGTACAGTTTACCCTCGAGATACGGAATCGATCCCAGAATTGCTGCTGTAGATTTCTCCAACCTACTCCTAGAGAAAGTGAGCTGCATTGGCAATTCTCGCAGTGTCAATCAGCAATTAACAAGTATATCACTTGGCTTTTAAAAGCAATTCTGAGTCAATTTTGTGCGCAAAGTGAAAGATGTTCTTGTCGAATGATGGAGTAGTGCGGCGTTCAAAGTTGCAGGCTATTCACATGCGTATACGGCATAGGCAACGGTTTCCGAAAACCAATCCTCTGTTCCAGTCACGCTAATCCGTCAGTCTAATTACAATTAACCACTTTTAATTAGCATGAAGTGTGATGCGACGTTTCGGCCTATATATGTCACCCTTTATCTGCAGAAATAGCAGTCATGAGATTGCAATTTCCAGCCTTCCGGAATGTCCATTTTGAGTGGAACCCGCTCAAGCAAACCAGATAACGAAGGCAATATTAGCCATGTGGATACACTGCAATCAAAAGGATCCCTATTTCTGCCCCTTCCTTGAAAATAAGAAGGTCGTGCTTTTGACAAAATAAGAGAAATCCGGAGATGCCACCAGCATGAAAGCTCGCGAGGCATTCGCACGCAACCTGCATTCTAGATATCCATCTGACCAGCCATCATTAATCCCTTCGACCAAGCACATCCTGTTGCAAGTCACAAATTGGTGCGTCATTCTTTCAGGCGACTCACGCTACTGATATTACCTCTCACCACGGTACATTGAAGAATCTGTTCTAACCTGTCTCAGCTCTTCTACTGGCACTCGGTTCTTTAGATAATCCGTAGCTGAACATCATCAGCCCTCCACCTCCAGTAGTAATAGTCGATTCCGAGGAAGTGGCGATGGTATCAAAAGTAGCATTTGAAGCAGCGATGTCGCACAAAAGTTGTTCTATAATAAATTCGAGCAGTGAGTGTGCCATTGTTAGTTAATAATAGTCTACATCTCAATGGTCAAGGCCACGTCTTTCTCCTAAAAGTGAAGAGGCTAGGTGTCGAAAAAGTCGGCGAGCTCCCGACTGAATTCATCGGACTTGGTGAAACCTAGCCAAGAGAGCTTTAAAGACAGTTTCTGCGAACAGGTGGGCCGCAAATTGCCTCCGTGCATTTGGCACCGTAGTCTGCATTTGCAAAAAGCGTACCACTTTCGTCACTCGAAACGGTGAGATAAAGAGACTAGAGACGCGTGATTATTGCAACCATTGCAACCACGATTACTTTCACTCTGCAAGACAACGGCTTACAAGCGGAATCGCTGTGTACATAGCGTCGTCAGGAGCGCCGTAGGGCGATTGCATATGTTTTTACCGGGAATTTGTTGCACGTGTCCTCATGATGAACTCGTCCAAGGTGCTGGCCCCGCTCTGAGGGAGTCTCTGTTCAGGGTCTTCCCAAGGTTTTTTTCCGCTCCAAAATCTACTGGAGAGTTACTTATGGGCTACGTCTCCATGATTGAGCACCTACTACCCGTAACACTTGATCACGGGAATAGCCTTCAAGAGGACGGCGCAGGCAAGAGTTGGAGTTGAATATGTACGTCAGGAAATTAAGAAAAAAGAGGCACTGACTCTAGACTCGCCTATTCCTGCAACTTTTTGTCACTTTTTTATCAATAGAGGGTTCCGTGTTATCATGATGGAGATGCACCAAAAATCTCAGTGGGTCCCGCGAGATTCTGAAGCATCTGACGCTATGAGAGGCGCTAATGGTGGTGGTGATCATGTGTCTCTGTGGGGTACATCTCTGTACAGCATTTTCTTAAATTCCAGAGAAGGGGCATTCCTGGAAACGTGTCTGCCTTGGCTAGATGGTTCAGTAGTTATGGTGGACTGCAAGGAGGGCCTCACTGGGCGATTTTTCTGTTTTCCTTCCTCACCAATGGGTCAGCTAGCGCCCACATTTGGTTTTGAATCTTAAAGGATAAAGGATAAAGGATAAAGTCTTCGCCGTTGATCAATCCCTTTGTGGGATGCGGCACGCATTCTACTTCCATTCAGAATCGTAGTGGCTTATTGAATGCGATGTGGCCTATACAATGACTTGCGGTGGCCAGCCGATGTACAAGTCAGTGTTTTATCCTCCCAGACGAATCTGGTACCAATTTACCGTCCCCGGAGGGTAGCTTGGTTGGCCTGGGCGGGTGTCGACCCGGGATTCGAACC